GCCCGGCGATCGATATTGCTATGCGCATGTCTCGCCACGCGCTCGAATTGGGCGGTAGGCCGGCCTAAGACAACAATTTTTAATAATTAATGACTTGTTAACTATTACGAAAATTGCAAAATGGTACAGGACTTTTCCGTTCATCTCGATCCGTTCTACCTTCTCAAAAATTTTGTCGGATATGGAAAGACTCATCCTGTATACACGAGTCGTCGCGACGATGAAAAAGTCTCTCTTTTTGGATGCCGAGGACTGCTACATCAACATGCAACATGTCACGCGTTGTCATCGTATTGTACGAGCATGACTTATCAACGGCGTGACTAATCCGCTGCAAAAAAATTATGATGTCATGCAGCGGAAAGGTGCACATTTGGCGACGGCGGTCAGTCGACCTATAGGTATATTTTCGTGTTGAATTACCGACCGCGTGCCTTCGTGGTTTTTTTTGTCTTCACGAGAAACCACCAAATCCGGTTGAGCTCCGCGCGTGTTTTTTTCCGAGAAAGTTGGGGACGCCTCGCTTTTCTAGAAATCGCGACGGAGGAAGGACTCGCTTTTCTACCGCGAATTACCTTTCACCGAAAATAAATATACCGTCGGGCTATCGGGAAGGGAAAACATTGTGCCAATCTGGTATCGACCGCGTACACGAGGCGTGATTCACTCGGCCGCAAATAAGCAACTGTAATTAATGCGATCCTTACGCGGACAGACACATGTAGTATCGCGCGAGTAATAAAATTAACGCTCGGCTCGATAAGCCTTCGACTCGCTTCCTGAATTATTCCCGTCGCGTAGCGCGCATTCGAAAGAGAAATCAGTCTGTTTTAACGCGGGCAATTTATAATCTACATCGATTTCGATCAATTCATAAATATGCGGTCAAAACGTTGCGTTTAACGTCGAGCGGAATTTCTGCTCAAATCGATCGTCGAAGTGAAACTTCGGGAGATTCGAGCGGGAAATGAACTCGACGAAATGGAGAAACGCCTGTCGACCGTTTCTCCCATTTTCCTACATTTCCGTGATTTTCACGGGAAAGCGCCACGCGTGAAATTTCACGTTTCACGGTGGGCAATTTGGCCGAGCGTTGATAAAGCGCGGCGGAAACTATTTGAGATTCGTGTTCGTCAGACAAACGGTATGGCACGAGCTGCATTTCCGTTGTGTCTACGATACCACAAACGGGACCATAAACATATTAAT